CATCATGGTGCCCATGGGCTGCAGTGTGTGCCTAGGGCAGGATCAGAAAACAGACAGGAAGCAAGGGGAACAAACACATTTCACATCGGTCTGTACATAATTAAACCCAACAGGCCACTTTTTTTTTTAACAGCATAACCTGATAATTGATACATATATTGATTGGAGCCATTGACCTCTATGCTGTAAAGATCTGGAGGAGAAAATTTAGAGGAGAACTTACGTTTGCTGTGCCCGGGAGGTCATACCGTGGAATGGCAAAGAGCTTGGGTCTTTTATTGGGCAAATTACTGAATCTCTCTGAGCCTCAGTTTTGATTATTTGTAAAATGAGGATAATAGCACCTGCTTTATATTTTTGCGACTTAAGTAAGGTAATACATGCAGAGTGTCCTTTACAAATTATGCTGTTATCATTATCATGATTAATGTGATTTACCAAAAACTTGTGTGCAATGTTGGGGAACAGTGATAATAAGGGTGATGATGATAATAAAAATTCCGTTTTCTTTCTTTCTTTTTTTTTTTTTGAGATGGAGTCTCACTCTGTCACCCAGGCTGAAATGCAATGGTGCAATCTCGGCTCACTGCAAACTCCATCTCCCAGGTTCAAGCGATTCTCCTGCCTCAGCCTCCTGAGTAGCCGGGACTATAGGCACGTGCCACCCCACTCAGCTAATTTTTATATTTTTGGTAGAGATGGGGTTTCACTACGTTGGCCAGGCTGTTCTCGAACTATTGACTTCATGATCCACCTGCCTCAGCCTCCCAAAGTTCTGGGATTACAGGTGTGAGCCACCATGCCCGGCCTAATAATCTCCTTTTCTAAGCACATGCTGCGTCTTGGGTACCATGACAGACCTTGGATCAGGACAGTGCACTACCCCTGGCCTTACTGGGCACCTTGTGAGTAGGAGAAGCCCAGTGTGGTCTGGGATCCTATGAAGAAGCCCCAGCCCCGCTTGGGGATGGAGAGGAAAGAGGTACATCCACCCCTGTACTCATCAAGCTTTTCCTGAACATCCATGAAAGGTCAGGTCCTATATCAGGATGCAGAACATCCCAGATGGAGGCATCAGCAGTGGTGGCGGCTGCCCATCTCCTTGCCTTGCTGAGGGACGGCCACCTCTTTTTATTTTGTGTTGAGCGTGTCTCACCTGATTGACAGCTGCTTGCAGGGAACCAGGCTAAATGGGATGGGAAAGTTCATTCCAGTGGCTTCTAGGAAAGAAGGTTAGTAAAGTGGGGAAGGGGCTTGTCCTAGACTCAAGGAGAGTATATGTTTAAGACCCTAGCACACAGTGGGTGCTCAGTAAGTGGGGGACTTTTCTGTCTCTGATGGATGAAGTGGACCATTTTCACTCTGGGTCCTGTCACCATTCCAAGGGGAAGCAGAGCGGGATGGGGAGTTTGGTTTGTCCTGGGTGTAGTGAGCAGAGGAGGCTTCTGTGTAGACGTGTCACAGGATGGAGTCAGAAAGCTTTTCTAGACAGGGAACTCTTCCCAAAAAACCTTTTACAGGAGGAATCATCCTTCCTGTGTTTGCATCTGCTCCTTCTGCCCTCACTGGAGGGGCTTGGAGGGGTGATGGGCAAATGTGAGTCAACACGCTGGCAGCACATAGGTTCTGTTCTGGAGCACATGGGATCTAGCTGTCCCCTTAGGGTCCAAGGTGCTGGTAGAAGTTGATGCTACAGCTGTGTTTGCCAGGATGCCTTACTGCAGCGTGCCTCAACCTACTGTGCGTGCGGATCACCTTGTCTGATTCCTCTGTGGCCAGGCTGGAGGATTTTTGGGCTTCTAACAAGCCTTAAATGATGGTGCTGATGCTGGCCTGCAGACCACACCAGAGGAGGAAGACAGCAGAGACTGCTCCTGCCCACACCTACTCAGCACTCTCTATTTGTGTGTGTGTGCATGTGTGTGCGTATATATGCATGTGTGTGTGTGTGTGTGTGTGTGTGTGTGTGCATGTGCGCTGATCTGACGCCTGGGCTTTCTTTGGCCACCAAAGTCTGCTCAGCTTGGACCTGGGAGGCAGGCAAGAAGTGCCAAAGCAGCCTGTAGCTGGGAGCCTCAGTTGCCCACAGCCGTACTGTCCTCAGGAACACATGTGTTACTGGCTTTCTTCCCTCCTCAGAAACTGCTTGCAGACACAGCCTTGTCTCAGACTCTGCTCCTGGGGAAGTCAACAACAGATGTCAGTTATAAAATCTGACCTTCTAGGCAGAAGGGGAGTTTATTGGAAGCCTATCTGGATGCTCAAAGACTACATTTAGAAACCTGACGAGAACCAGGAGAAGCCCTAGAAAGCCCAGGAGCAGGGATGCAGTAGCCAGGATGCGCTGACCAGGGGCTGCCTACGCTCTGCTGGGAAGGCACAGCTGGCTTGATCCATCCTCAACTTCGCTCTGTCCTTGTGCCTCCATTTGATGGTGCACTTGGCTGAGCCTGTGTCACGTCCATGCCTTTACCTCCAGAGGGCAGAGAGAAGGATAACATGCACCTCTCAGATATCCATTGAGGGGTGAGGTGCAGGCAGGGGAATTACCTTTTTAAAAATTGTTTAGATTTTCTTTTGAGATGGAGTCTTACTCTGTCACTCAGGCTGGAGTGCAGTGGTGCCATCTCAACTCACTGCAACCTCCACCTCCCAGGTTCAAGAGATTCTTGTGCCTTAGCCTCTCAAGTAGCTGAAATTATAGGCATGTTCCACCATACCTGGCTAATTTTTGTATTTTTAGTAGAGATGGGGTTTTGCCATGGTGGCCAGACTGGTCTCCAATTGCTGACCTCAAGGAATCTGTCCGCCACGGCCTTCCAAAGTGCTAGGATTACAGGAAACCTGGGTGGGCTGCTGAGGAGATGCCCCCTCTCCCCAACTAAAAAAATGTTCACTGCAATCATGCAGCACCAGGCACAAATGCACCAGGTTGTGGGGTTGAGAAAAGACATTGCTGATGAATATGTGGAGTGATGGGCTCACTCAGTGAGCTGGCAGCATCCTTGCCCTCCAGTGGGGGATGCAGGCCGGAGTCTTGAACTGAAAACTCCTGGGGGGTGGGGGTGGAGGGTTGTTCTTAGCATCTCAAAGTTCCTTTAGGGCAACGCCTACTTAAAGGAATTTTCTCCTGGAATTCAGTAAACAAAATAATTTTGCTTTCAGTTGCTCTAGGAAACTTCCTCTTTCTTCCCAGGGACTTAACTTTGGTAGCTGTACATCCTAACAAAGAAACAGCCAGAAAATAGCCCCAGGCACGAATGGGCTCTAAGTCATTATTCCATTAAGTTACCTTTGTTCTGGCTTCCCCTTGCCTCTTCTGGAGAAAGGCCTGAATCAGTGGGACTGGCCTGGCCAACCTTCTGGGGTTGGAGGATGGACAAGGCTGGGGCAGGGAGGAAGATTCTGTTTCTTCTGTTCCTGATCGAGCAAGCTCTGAGTTATTAGAAAAGGGCAAGGCAGGGCCCTGAAGGTTAATTGACTAGGACTCTGTAAGGGTGATACTCGCTGCCTTTGCGGAAAGAACAGAAGTTGAACCTGGCCTGTCAGCAGAGGCCGAGGTGGCAACCCAGCTTTCTTCTCTGACTCTGGTCTCAGTGCTTCATTTCGCATGTATGTCAGTCAAGGCCCATTTCACGGTCAGGAAAAGGGAGACGTTCAGTGAGCTCAAGGTAAGGACTCCAAGAAGGGTCATTATCTGAGGCTGGCCTGGAAAAGCCACAGCAAGAAGGCAGAAGTGGCTTCCAGGCCCCACAGGGCCCCAGCACTGCCCTCGGAGCACCTGCTCTCCGGTGCTTTTTCTGTTGGTTCAGACTTTGTAACCAATTTGATGGGGTCCATCCTTAGTTGCAGGCCAGGCCACATCAGTGGGTGGCCAGTCTGAGCTGTGTGCCTGCCTGAGGCCCTGTGCCTTTGATCTGCTGGTGGGGGGCATGAAATGGTTCCAATGTGTCTGTACAGGCAGCAGGAGCTGTGGGTAGGGCAGGCTTCTGGAAGGCAATTTGGAGGCAGTGACAATGACAGATCCCTTCAGGGAAAACTCTCACTCCTGGAAGTGGGTGTCCACGTGGAGTAGCCGCCACTGCTTTTGCACCTGCTCTCGAGATATTTCCAGGCACTGATTTTCTGGTCCAGAGGGGGCCGGTCCACCTGGTGCATTCCTATCCCCTGGGGAATTGTGTAAAGACAGACTCTAGAGCTTTATGCTAGAACCTCAGAGTGGGGTCTAGAAATTGACATTCACAATGAGCACCTCCTCCAATGTTTCTTATATGAAAAGTTTGAAAACCCTTAAGGTACCTGTGAATGACTGGGATTCCTTTCTTTTTTTGCCAAGTTAACCCTCCCTGGATTCAAAGCAGATCTGACAAAATATGACTTCTTCCCCCAACACTTGGTAGAGTGCCTTTGTTGATGTAAGGAGACCCAAGGGCTGAGGTTTGCTTGGGATGGATTTCAGAAGGATATTGAATCCAGAGACACAGGATCAGACCTGGAGCAACTGGGATGTACCTTTACTGTTAGACAGTTAATTGTCCAGGCTGGGTGTGGTGGCTCAAGCCTGTAATCCCAGCACTTTGGTAGGCCAAGGTGGGCAGATAACGAGGTCAAGAGATCGAGATCATCCTGGCCAACATGGTGAAACCCCATCTCTACTAAAAATACAAAAATTAGCTGGGCATGGTGGTGCATGCCTGTAATCCCAGCTGCTCGGGAGGCTGAGGCAGGAGAATCACTTGAACCTGGGAATTGGAGGTTGCAGTGAGCTGAGCTGGTGCCACTGCACTGGGCAACAGAACAAGACTCTGTCTCAAAAAAAGAAAAAGAAAAAAAATTAATCGTCCAGCCACCTGGCCTGAGGCTGGCTGTGGGGCAGCTGTCAAAGGTCATCTGAGCATGGCCCTGAAGGACCCAGCCAGTGCTGAAATTCCAAAGTCAGTGCTTCTGCTCCTGGTGATGTTGAACAGCTCCTGAGATCTTTTCCATTTCCTCCCCAATAGGTGTGCGCCTTGATCGAGTGCGTGGAGGCCGCCAGAAATACAAGCGACGGCTGGACTCAGAGAGCAGCCCATATCTGAGCTTACAAATTTCTCCACCTGCTAAAAAGCCATGTGAGTGTCAGGGCAGTCCCTACCCCTTTTGCCAGCTTCTGTACCTGGAACATCGGGCATCCCTTAGAGAAATGTCATCTTCCCATCAGTGGGTCATGAGACAGTGTGGATCTTGGGGAGGTGACATCAGTGCCTGGCATATTCAGAATGTAGCTCCAAATGAAGCATGGTCCTGACAAGCCACTGGCCCCACTGTCCAGAACATGACTCCTTTTGCCACCCACCCAAAGTTACTCTGCAGGTTCCTCCTGGAGAATTCAGCAGGTAGCTTCGCTTGGAGGGATATTTCTCAACACCCAGATCACCACTGCCAGCAACTTCATGGAGCCAGAACAGGAGGGGAGATAACAGCCGCTTTGACCTTCCTGGGGCTCTGAGTCCTTTGACCTTCTGACCCATCTAAGCCTGCTGCCCAGCCCCTTCCTTCTTTTCTCAGCATTTACCTTTCCCTCTTTGGTTGTTGCAGTGACCAAGATTGTCTCATACCTACTGGTGGCTGAGCCAGACAAGCTCTACGCCATGCCTCCCCCTGGCATGCCTGAGGGGGACATCAAGGCTCTGACCACTCTCTGTGACCTGGCAGACCGGGAGCTTGTGGTCATCATTGGCTGGGCCAAACACATCCCAGGTGAGCTTGTGGGACCAGGGGACAGTGTGGCCAGGGACTCTCAGCCAGTATCCCCACTGCCTACCCAATGGCTGTGCTTCTGATGCCCAGATCCTGGCCTCCAGAAGGCCTGTGAAATCCTGGCAAGCCTGTTTCTCTGAGCTCCTTTTTCCTCCTTGTAGCATTGGAGGACAGGTAGTTAGAAGGCCCAGTGAGGTTTATACACTGCTGTGGGCTCTTCAGAACTAGTTATCATTCCAGGAGGGGCCATGATTGAATCTACAATCAGTATAATATTCAAAGAACAAGTTCCTTGAGCCCTTAAAAAAGAGTAGGGTTTTCTTGTAAACCGTATTGGAATGATGCCAGAAAACACCAGAAGAAAGACTGACTCTCTCTTCCTATGGAGGCAGGCAGAATGGAGCAGTTAGGAGCATGGGCTTGGGAATCAAATCAGGATTCCAATTCTGAGTCTGCAGCTTACTAGCTGAGGAACCCTAGGTAGGCCACCTGACCTCTGTCAAATGGGAACACAAGAGCTTTGACGTGAGGGTGAAATGAGATCCTGTATGTGCAGCGTTCAGCACAGTGCCTGGAACGTGCTGGCATCAGTTGCATGCCCACTATTGCCATTTACCTGATCTCTCAGGGATGCCTGTCTCTGGATTGGCTTCTGAGATCTTTTTCTTTTTCTCATAATTCTTGTACATCTAATTAAATTTACAAAGATGGTTAAGGTTAAGTTCTTTTAATTATTCCATTATTATTATTTTTTTATTGCATTTTAGGTTTTGGGGTACATGTGAAGAACATGCAAGATTGTTGCATAGGTACACACATGGCAGCGTGATTTGCTGCCTTCCTCCCCTTCACCTGTATCTGCCATTTCTCCCCATGCTATCTCTCCCCAATTCCCTACCCCCCACTGTCCCTCCCCTATTTCCCCCCAACAGACCCCAGTGTGTGATGCTCCCCTCCCTGTGACCACGTGTTCTCATTGTTCAACAGCCGCCTATGAGTGAGAACATGCTGTGTTTGATTTTCTGTTCTTGTGTCAGTTTGCTGAGAATGATTGTTTCCAGCTTCATCCATGTCCCTACAAAGAACTCATCGTTTTTGATGGCTGCATAGTATTCCATGGTGTATATGTGCCACATTTTCCCTGTCCAGTCTGTCATCGATGGGTATTTGGGTTCGTTCCAGGTCTTTGCTATTGTAAACTGTGCTGCAATGAACATTCCTGTGCATGTGTCCTTATAGTAGAACACTTTATAATCCTTTGGATATATACACAGTAATGGGATTGCTGGGTCAAATGGAATATCTATTTCTAGGTCCTTGAGGAATTGCCACACTATCTTCCACAATGGTTGAACTAATTTACACTCCCACCAACAGTGTAAAAGTGTTCCTATTTCTCCACATCCTCTCCAGCATCTGTTGTCTCCAGATTTTTTAATGATCACCATTCTAACTGGTGTGAGATGGTATCTCAGTGTGGTTTTGATTTGCATCTCTCTGATGACCAGTGATGATGAGCATTTTTCATATGTTTGTTGGCCTCATGTATGTCTTTTTTCTAAAGTGTCTGTTCATATCCTTTGCCGACTTTTGAATGGGCCTATTTGTTTTTTTCTTGTAAATCTGTTTTAGTTCTTTGTAGATTCTTGATAGCAGCCCTTTGTCAGATGGGTAGACTGCAAAAATTTTTTCCCATTCTGTTGGTTGCCGGTTCACTCTAATGACTGTTTCTTTTGCCATGCAGAAGCTGTGTAGTTTGATTAGGTCCCATTTGTCTATTCTGGTTTTGTTGCCAATGCTTTTGGTATTTTGGTCATGAAGTCCTTGCCTACACCTATGTCCTGAATGGTTTTGCCTAGATTTTCTTCTAGGGTTTTTATGGTGTTAGGTCTTATGTTTAAGTCTTTAATCCATCTGGAGTTAATTTTAGTGTAAGGTGTCAAGAAGGGTTCCAGTTTCTGCTTTCTGCACATGGCTAGCCAGTTTTGCCAACATCATTTATTAAACAGGGAATCCTTTCCCCTTTGCTTACTTTTTTAAGGTTTGTCAAAGATCAGATGGTTTTAGATACGTCGTGTTGCCTCCAAGGCCTCTGTTCTGTTCTATTGGTCTATATGTCTGTTTTGGTACCAGTACCATGCTTTTTGATTACTGTAGCCTTGTAGTATAGTTTGAAGTCTGGTAGTGTGATGCCTCCTGCTTTGTTCTTTTTGCTTAGAACTGACTTGGCTATGCAGGCTCTCTTTTGGTTCCATATGAAGTTTAAGGTGGTTTTTTCCAGTTCTGTGAAGAAGGTCATTGGTAGCTTGATGGGGATAGTGTTGAATCTGTACATTATTTTGGGCAGTATGGCCATTTTCATGATATTGATTCTTCCTAACCATGAGCATGGAATGTTTCTCCATCTGTCTGTGTCCTCTCCTCTCTTATTTCATTGAGCAGTGGTTTATAGTTCTCCTTGAAGAGGTACTTTACGTTCCTTGTTAGTTGTATTCCTAGGTATTTTATTCTCTTTGTAGCAATTGTGAATGGCAGTTTGTTCTTGATTTGGCTTTCTTTAAGTCAATTATTGGTGTATAGGAGTGCTTGTGATTTTTGCACATTGATTTTGTATCCTGAGACTTTGCTGAAGTTGCTTATCAGTTTCAGGAGATTTTGGGCTGGGGAAATGGGGTCTTCTAGATATACAATCATGTCATCTGCAAATAGAGACAATTTGACTTCCTCCTTTCCTATTTGAATACCCTTTATTTCTTCTTCTTGCCTGACTGCTCTGGCTGGCTTCTGAGATCTTAAGGGCATTTCTGGGTTGGAAAGTGTGCATTGCATGTTTCAGGCTGTGTGGCCTTCTCTTCACTGCATGTGGACCCAAGCCCTGCTTTCACTCTCTTGTTTTGGGCAGATGGTAGGAGCTTTGTTATTTTTGTAGATGCCAACATCCACATATTATACATTACATACATATTGGGGGCCTTTCTCTGTGCAGGTTATTCCTCAACTTCTTTAAGACTCTAATAAGTTGACTCAGAGTGTGGTAGAAACATCCTTTTATTGTTTTGGTAGTGACCCACCATGGAAGTGGGCAAGTCAGCATCCTGTCTGTAGATCTGTTTTTGGTTTGTCGTGGCTCTGAAAGATGAATACAGCATGCAGACGATACAGCAAAGGTGTCCTAGACTTTAGATGCCAAGGCCCATAGTTGTTTGTTTGTTTTTTGAGACAGGTCTCGCCCTCTTGCCCAGGCTGGAGTGCAATGGCGTGATCTCGGCTCACTGCACCCTCCGCCTCCTGGGTTCAAGTGATTCTCCTGCCTCAGCCTCCTGAGTAGCTGGGACTATAGGTGCATGCCACCACATCCAGCTATTTTTTTTTGTAATTTTAGTAGAGATAGGGTTTTGCCATGTTGGGCAGGCTGATCTCGAACTCCTGACCTCAAGTGATCCGCCCGCCTCGGCCTCCCAAAGTACTGGGATTACAGGTGTGAGCCACCATGCCTGGCCCAAGGCCCACAGTTGATTGAGGGAATAAAAAAAGTCCTTCTGTGTGAGACCCTGCATGCCCAAGTTACAAGAAGGAGACTTCCTGTGGACAGGGATGCACAGGGAGATTAGAGGACCCAGAGGCTCTGCTGGCAAGAACCGCCTGGTGGTCCCTGGGCATTCTGACCAGGGATCTAGTCTGATATGCCCTTACTAAGGAGCTCAACCTCTCGGGGATTACACACTCAGTAGTTTTTGAATCTGCCCAGTGCTGGTTCAGCAGAGATGTGGGGTCAGGCCACTGCTTAAGACACCTCAGCCTGGATTACTCCACTAACCCAGGGCCAAATTGGGTACAGCTAACCCCTGGCCCCACCCCCACACTCCTGTTCCAGGTTGAACAGATCCTACATCCTAGCAATGGCTCATGAGTGGCGCCTGGTGGTCCCCTGGGTCATTGCTTCCTTATTCCACAACCCCATCCCTGCAACACCATGGAGGGAGTAGATAGGACCAGGAGACCCTGTCTCCCTTGCACTTGTTTTTCTCTGTGCCTTTCCACCTCCCAGCTCCATCTCCCATCTGTGCTCAACCAAGAGGGCAGGGCTAGAGCAGAGTGGATGCTAAACACATAGACTTGGGAATCAGGCAGCCTGGGCTTTCATCTCAGCTCTGTCCTTACTGGCCTTGTGCAAGATACTGAATTTTTCAAAGCTTTAGTGTCCTTGTCTGTAAAAATCATGATAGAGCCCTTCACGGATTGCTGGGAGGAGGTGTCGCACTTCGTGTGCATGGTTAAATGGCAGAGATGCCTACCATGGCCGTTGTTACTAATAGTAATCATAGCCTCCTTTCACACCTTGTCCATTTTTAGTAGAAAAGTAAAATAAAAACAGGGGCTCTATTGTCCGTCTAAGTGCTAATTTGCCTATTTTGCATAAATCTGCATGCTGAATTCTTTGCCTCCTGACATTCCAGTAGTTAAGGTAAAATTAATTAGTGGAGTCTCCTGCCACTGCATGTAAACCTCATATTAAGGGCAAGGACACAATCAAGTGCCTGAGGGTTTTTTTTTTTTTTTGAGATGGAGTCTCCCTCTGTCACCCAGGCTGGAGTGCAGTAGTGTGATCTCAGCTCACTGCAACCTCTGCCACCCAGGTTCAAGCAATTCTCTTGCCTCAGCCTCCCAAGTAGCTGGGATTACAGGCATGCACCACCACACCTAGCTAATTTTTTTTTTTGTATTTTTAGTAGAGTCAGGATTTCACCATGTTGGCCAGACTGGTCTCAAACTCCTGACCTCAAGTGATCTGTCTGCCTTGGCCTCCCAAAGTGCTGGGTTTATAGGTTTGAGCCACTGCACCCAGCCAGGTGCCTGATATTTTTAAACTAATCAACTTAATCCCATCTCAGATTAGATGGAAAATGTATCTGAAGACAGGCTCACTGGCCCTGGGAGAGAGAGAGAGAGAGAGAGAAAGAGAAAACTGGTTGAGTAAGGAGAATACAAGCTGGAGCCCACCCTGGGACCTATGTTGGCTTCTGTCCATCTTGGTTCCTGCACAGACAGAAAATGGGGAACTGGCCACTCCAGGCTGCTCAAGAGTAGAGCTCTGAAGAACCTGGGCCACTGTCCTTAAACACGAGGGGCTGCAGCTCACACGTCAGTGTCTTCCAGCCTGGCACAGAGGGCATTGCACACTTAGCTTTGCATGCACATATTGAGAAGTCAGTATACATCAGGTCCCCTGATAGGTGTTGTGGCTGAGACAAGAAATTAATTTTGCCCCCAGGATCCCATTTAGAACAAGGCTGACTTCCAGGGGGAACTTGGTTCACTCAGAATCCCAGCCATTGTTCAACTCAGTCTGACAATGGCCTACCCCAAATGCCAAATGCAGGGTTTTTTCACCTTGAGTTGAATGTTCCAAGTATTGGGTTCCCCAGAGGGCAAGCCCAGGTCTTTAGAATGTCCACCCCTTATTCCATGAGATCATGAGCTAGCAGCCTTTAATAGGCAGTGGGGAATCACTTGATGAATTTGCAGCCTACTCCAAATGACCTGAGCCTGCCATCCTCCCTCCCTGGGCAGCCCCATGCTTGTGCTAGCCAGGAGAGCCTTCCCAGTCTCCACCACCCTGCCCAGGCCCCCATGTACAGGGCATCCCCAGAGGCCTCCTCACAAAGGTCCCTTGGCGGCCCTGCTCCCAGGTAGCCTCCGTCTGACTCAATGAAATATGAGCTGCCGAGTGACAGCAGCTGTGTCTGAAGTGGCCCCAGATCCTATAATTACATCTCCCTTTATTACCTCTGCTAATGGCCCTCCAGGTCGACAGAAACGATCATAAATTAACACATTATGAACTCCACTTGCCACAAATTATGTGCTTTTTTTTTTTTTTTTTGAGCCAGGATCTTGCTCTGTCACCCAGGCTGGAGTACAGTGGCATGATCTTGGCTCACTGCAGCTTTGACCACCTGGGTTCAAAAGATCCTCCCACCTTTGCCTCCCGAGTAGCTGAGACCACAAGCATGCACCATCATGTCTGGCTAATTTTTAAATTATTTGTAGAGATGGGGTTTTGCTATGTTGCCCGGGCTAGCCTGACATTCCTGGGCTCACACGATCCTTCCACCTTGGCCCCCAAAGTCCTGGGATGACAGGTGTGAGCCGCCATGCTTGGCCACTGGGAGAAATTTCTAGTAGTAGAATTGCTAGGTTGAAGGGAGCATGGCTTTTATTTTATTTTTAGTTTAATTATATTTATGACTTATTTTTATTTTTAAGCATCTTAAGCACTGACAGGGTTCAAAAGCCGAATGTAGAAACAAATGTATATACAGAAGTCTCACCCTGTCCCCCCCCTTCCCCTCCAACCTCCTAGAATTCACCATTTTTCTTTCTCAGTTTTCTTTCTGGCATTTCTTTTCACAAATATTAGAAAAGATTTGAACTATTTCAGACGTTAAAAGGTATCAGATACCTATCCCTCTCTTCGCTGCACAAAATGAAGACATCTGTATCACCGTTCAGCACTTTGGAGTACACATTTGGATTGTCAAAGCTATTTTCAGGGCCTTTTGAAAATGTTCGGGGAGGAAAAGAGTGATCGGGCCCGAGTCCAGAACTCAAAGCAGCCTCGCAGAGGTCTGGGAACAGGCCTCCTGGGTACACCCTCCGATGATGGCACAAAACTTTCCAAGTCCAGTCTCCCTCCCACCACCAAAGGGCAGGGCCATCCCTGACTCCTGCAAGAGAGGCAAAGGCAGCTAACCCTGAACCTGAGTCCAAAGATCTTAACGGGTCTAACCAAGTGCTTTGGGCGCATCTTGTTGTTACCCGAGAGTCAAAGCCCATGGCATCTGTCCATTTTCTCTCTCCTTTTAGTTGTAAAGGTTTGTCGGGCAGCTTCTTTGCTGTGCTCAGCCATGGGCGTGGGGAAAGGAACAGCTCAGTGTCTGTGCACCCTGGGAACTCAGAGCTGGGGTGAGCCATTCAGGTGCACCTGGGGGCGTGCCTCATTCATCAAAGGTGCTCTTGCCACCCTGCCTGAGAGCTCAGCCCCCAAGGCTCCCCTTCCACAAAACCTCCCCAGTCTCTTGTTTGGACCATCTTCCCCAGTTGCGCACTTTCAGAGCCCTGCATTTGCTGTAGCTCTTCTTACATTGTAACTTTGTGCCGACTAGTCCCCCTTGCTAGGTGTCTTCCCCTTCACTGTAAGCCTTTGATGGCGGGAGCACGTCTGGATTGAGCACACCATTCTGTCCCCAGGGCCTAGCGCAGGCCTGGCACTTAGTAGGTGCTCAGTAAGTTTTGCTGATTAATGTCTCAAAGGGCAGAAGAGCATGCTAGTCACATCCTAATGATTGTACCTACATGATTCACTGCACAGGGGCTTTTCCTCTGCGTTTCCAGAAGCCTAGTTCTTACCTCATCCTCTCTCTCTGCTACCTTCCAATTCAGTTGCCTGCTAATTTTGACCCTGCTCTCCTCCTCCATCTCCCCTCCAGTGTGTCTGCTTTTATACCCCCCTCCCCAGAGCTGTCCAGCACTCCCCCCACAAACTCTCTGGTTGCTGGCTGATTGGTATCTGTTAATTAATGTTGCCCAAGGCCTCTCTCCTACTCAGACACCTGATAAGGGAAATTGGATGTCCATTTCTATCTATCTTTTATTACCTCCAGCTCCCCCAGCCACCACAGGCAGCCACACACCCTCTCCCATGCAGGGAATCAGGACAACCACACACACACACGTGCACATGCACACACGCGTGTGCACACACACACACCCTGACCCCTGTCACAACCTCTCCCTTGAGAAGGTGCATCAATCAAAGCTCACCCATGTTGGTCGGTGTAATCACTCCTGCTCTTTTGTTGATTACCCGTGGATTCCATTAGCCGGTGGTGATCCAAGGCCCAAATTGTATAGTTCAGGCTTGGGAACTGTGATAATTCACTTGGAGAATGCTCACAGGGTAAGGGTGGCCGGCCTAATTGCGGGCCTTCAGCTCGAGGACTGCCCCCTAAGGTTGAACTGCCATGCCCTGTGTAGAAGTCAGGGAATAAGTGGCGTTTGGGACAGAGGAAACAGATGGATAGGATAGACCACACAAGCCAAAGAGCTGGGTGGCCCAGAAGCTCAGGGCCACCCAGGCCTCTAGGCAAGTCCAGAGAGGAGAAGTGAGTGATGCCAGCGGTGTGCCAACACCAACAATAATATTAATAGTAACAGCAGCCACAGCCATCACCAGCTCCCTAGCGTGTTGAGTGCTGATGATGCTGGGAGAAATGCCCAGCACTTTTTTTTTTTTTTTTTTGAGATGGAGTCTCACTCTGTCACCCAGGCTGGAGTGCACTGACGTGATCTCAGCTCAGTGCAAGCTTCACATCCCAGGTTCAAGTGATTCTCCTGAGTGGCTGGGATGACAGGCGTGAGCCACCATGCCTGGCTGAGGTACCCAGCATTTTATATGCATCTTCTCTTTTCACTTTCACAGCACCCCACCTCAGACAGTGGCTCCAAGCCAGGGATGGGGTCTAAGTTAGCAAATGAGGTAAAAAGTCCTTCCTGGGCAAAATTCCCCCTGAAAAAAAATCCCTTCATGTCAGTTACCCATAGTGCACGATACAAACAGCTTTGCGGATGCTTTTCCTTCTTTGAATAAATCTAGCATGTCAGTGTTGGAACCAATCACTGAGTTTCTGGTTGAATCTCCAGTGAAGTTACTACGTTGTGTTTGGTGGTTAAGATGTTTGAAAATCAGCTGACGTATTTACCTACTCTCGCTTCCTCTCCTATAAATCACGATGTTAATTGACTTGCCTAATTTAAGTGCATGTATAATGCAATCCCAGTATAGTATCATTGTTCTGCAGATGAGGACTTTCATCTCATCGTTAGTAATAATAGCTCAGGAAATACTTTGTTCTGGAATAATCATCTCATTTAGAAGCAGACCCGACTGTTCTCCCATTGCCTAGATGAGGAAGTGAAGGGTTGGGGAAGCCCCACAGCTTTCGCAAGGCCAGCCTACAGCTAGTAAGTGCGAGTCAGGGTTCAACTCAGGCAATCCCACAGCTCACTGGACAAGACAGTGTCACAATTCTGGAGGCTTCTCCATGCCCAACTTTATTTTCACTGTGGAATCAGCCTCCTCAATAGCAGGGAGGAGGTAACTGTGATTCCAAGTTCTCAGAACAGGACTGCTGGGTCATCGTTAAGCAGAGGGTGATGGCCCTGGCAGAGGGGCTCTGACCCTGGGAGGACAGGCTGTTCTGTGAGAAAGTGCCCCAGACCCCGGGGGCTTTTGATCTCCTATCAGTTCCAGGCAGTGGTCATTGTGGTTTTCCCTATGGCTTTGAACAGCTTTGTCCTCATTCCTGGTCAGGCCCATGGGTCTCTGCACAGCTGAGACTGCATTAAGAATCAGGTGTCATTTTCAAACACCAAAGCCTCCCCTGGTTTGAGCAGAGAGTGGGCCCTGAAAACTCCCCAGAGTGGCAGAGAGCACGCACTACTGCCTTGTGATTCCAGTATGTATTCAGTCACTCCTTCAGCTACAAATGCACTGAATTAATCGAAAAGCCTCTATGGAGTTTGGAAAATACCAAAGAGCTAACAATAATAATGATAAAAACTGTCAACATTGACTGAGCTCCTCTTATGCAAGTCTTTTCCATGAATTCCAAGACTGGCGTATTCCCCAAGGGGAGGACAGTGAGTCTCACACCACACAGAGAAGGCCTGGGGGCAGGATCCGGGGGTGCCAGGGACACAGCCACCCCCGCCCCCACCCTGACCTCCACCCCTGCGGCAAGCCCCAGGGAGGCCCCTGGTCTGCCCTCCTGACCTGCTGCTGCCCTCTGTGCTGCCTCTTCCAACAGGCTTCTCAAACCTTTCCTTGGGGGACCAGATGAGCCTGCTGCAGAGTGCCTGGATGGAGATCCTCATCCTGGGCATCGTGTACCGCTCGCTGCCCTATGACGACAAACTGGTGTACGCTGAGGACTACATCATGGACGAGGAGCACTCCCGCCTCGCGGGGCTGCTGGAACTCTACAGGGCCATCCTGCAGCTGGTGCGCAGGTATAAAAAGCTCAAGGTGGAGAAGGAGGAGTTTGTGACGCTCAAGGCCCTGGCCCTCGCCAACTCCGGTAAGCACAGCAGTGGGGCCTGGAGGGGAGAGCTTCTAGAGGGTCTGCCTGGGCCTAGTGAGCCCATCTCTGGGGCCTTTGGGCAGGGCTGGCTGCTGTGGGTAGAGGTGAAAGGAAAACAATGAAACTTTTTATCACCGAAGATTGTGCAAAGGGTGGCCTGCAGGTAAAAAGATGGTGATGAAGGCTGTCACTGGCTGATCATTTCCTAAGCCTCGGACATCCAGACTGGCACATTGGTTAAGGATACGGGTTCTGAGGCCACATTGCTAAGGAGTAAATCCTGCATCTACCACTTAGGCCAGTTACTTCGCTCTGTGCCTCGGTTTTTTCATCAGTAAAAGGAGGGCAGTAAACAGTCCCTACTCCACAAGGCTATCGACAGGATTTCTTTGTACATAATTGTATTGCTTGCAACATGCCTGGTGCATAATCAGCACTCAGTTCTTTCTTTATTATAGACGGGGTCTTGCTTTGTTGCCCAGGCAGCAGCGCTGTGGTTTGATCCTAGCTCCCTGCAGCCTCAAACTCCTGGGCTCAAGCCATCCTTCCACCTCAACCTCCTGAGTAGCTCGGACTACAGGCGCATGCCATTACTCCCAGCTAATTCTAATCTATTTTGTATTGAGTTGGGATCTCACTGTGTTGCCCAGGCTGGTCCCAAACTCCTGGACTCAAGCCATCCTCTCACCTCAGCCTCCCAAAGTGCTGGTACTACAGGTATGAGCCACCACGCTCACTGTCAACTTGTTAAATTAGCTAGGAGTTTATCGAATTCTTACAAACAACCCAAGAGCAAAATTCTTATTGTTGTAACCTCTTTTTACAGATGTGGAGACAGACTGGGAAAAGTAAAATCGCCCAGGGTCACAGAGTTAAAAAGTGTCAGAGTTACGGGTTAAACCAAGGTCCTCTGATTCCAAAATCAATCTCAACTTATACCCACTCTTTGAATCTTTCAGTCAAATCTCTTGAACACAGGAGAATAAAACCTTCCCAACTGAGTGGTTTAAACTGGAGTTACAAAGGAGGACTCACTCCATTTCATCTGCCTTCACCAACTTCTGGCTAGGTTATCCGAGGGGAGAGGCAGGCATTGGCTAATGCCAGTGAGTGAGCTTCAGTATAACCAATATTTGCACACAGAGAGCTTCCACACTATCCAGGGAATGTGCTGGGCGCCAGGGGGCTGCAGGAGCAGGTTAAATACAGGGTCTCCGCCCTAAACAGAGTACGTGTCAGGAATCACACACATAACTGCTGCAGAGCAGCGTGTGGCAGAGTTAACTGCCCAGGTCTGGATCAGGTAGAGCCAAGTTCAAATTCTGTCTCTGAGACTTCCCAGCAGTATGACCTTGGGCAACTCAGTGTCCTTGTGTGTTCAGTAGGGATATTCTGAGCACCTCTTCTAAGCACTTTTTTTTTTAAGACAGAGTCTGGCTTTGTCGCCCAGGCTGGAGTGCAGTGGTGCGATCTTGGCTCACTGCAACCTCCGCCTTCTGGGTTCAAGCAATTATCCTGCCTCAGCCTCCTGAGTAGCTGGGACTATAGGCATGCACCACTATGCCTAGCTAATCTTTGTATTTTTAGTAGAGACAGGGTTTCACCATATTGGCCAAGCTGGTCTCGAACTCCTGACCTCTTGATCTGTCCATCTTGGCCTCCCAAAGTGCTGGGATTACAGGCATGAGCCACTGTGGCCAGACCCAAGCACTTTTTTTTGAGACGGAGTTTTGCTCTTGTTACCCAGGCTGGAGTGCAATGGCGCGATATTGGCTCTCTGCAACCTCTGCCTCCTGGGTTCAAGCAATTCTCCCACCTCAGCCTCCCTAGTAGCTGGGACTAGAGGTGTGCGCCACCATGCCCAGCTAATTTTTGTATTTTTAGTATAGATGGGGTTTCACCATGTTGACCGGGATGGTCTGGATCTCTTGACCAGCCCCAACCACTTTTTAAAAAAACTTTTTTGAGGCAGAGTCTTGCTCTGTCACCCAGGTTGGAGTGCAGCGACACAATCTCACCTCACGCTTCACTGCAACCTCCGCCTCTCAGGTTCAAGCGATTCTTATGCCTCAACCTTTTGAGTAGCTGTGGACCACCACACCCAGCTAATTTTTGTATTTTCAGTAGAGATGGGATTTTGCTATGTTGCCCAGGCTGGTCTCAAACTCCTGTCCTCAAGTGATCCACCCACCTTGGCCTCCCAAAGTGCTGGGATTGCAGGGGTGAGCCACTGTGCCCGGCCAGTTCACAGAAATTGAGCAGATAGTCCATAAAGTTCCATACACCCACCCCATTCATATCCTCCTCCCCCAGAAGTTTCCTCTATTATTAAAATCTTGCATTAGTGCAGTAATATGTTACAAATAGTGACCCAATATTGACATATTATTGAGTGCAGCCCATAGTTTCCATCAGGGTTCACTCTTTGTGTTGTATTATTCTTTAGGTTTTGACAAATGCATAATGACATATTTGTACAATGATGTATCATACAGAATAACATCACGGCCCTGTGCTTCCCCTACACAGAGGGGAACATTTGAACCAGTCGTTGCAGAGGGCCTGGGAGTTCTGACGGGTGGAGGAGTAGCAAAAGCAGTGAAAGCAGAGGAAGCAAGGTGACAAAGCCAGGCGCAGCAAAGTCCTCTGTTCTGGGCTCTCCTCACTTACACCAGACACAGAGCTCAAGCTTGCCTGTGTTGGGAGAGGCGAGTAAAGAGGTAGCGCCTCCTCTACTCTTACTTGGTCCTCAGCCCTGGACCACACCACACCACACCAGCTTTTAGCCGCTCTTTCCTTGATCTCACATGGACCTGCACACATACATACATGCACATGTATCCATGCGAACGCATGCACACATGCACATGTGAACACACATATATGTACATGCACATACCCCGTATGCACCACATGCATGTATACACACACCCCCCCAACCTGAGGACCCACCGTGGTCTGTCAATATGAATGTGTCAGGAACTTCGACTGGCATCAAACGTTGCCTGAGTGTATACTTTGTCACATGGGATGAGGTTTCAGGTCTCCAGACTTCTTGCCCCAGTGACACATAGAGAGCCATCCTGCAGCTGGTGCACAGGATGAGAAGCTGGAGGTCGGGGAGGAGTCTGTGATATTTGAGGCCTTGGCTGACCCCCAAGATGGGACACAGGTCTTGATGGCAGGAATGCTTCCTTCCCAGCTCAGAGGGGTTGAGCATGAGGTCCTGTTGTTACCAAGTAGATACTTAGAAAGTAGGCTGGATAGTCGTGGTTTTTTTTTTTAAGAAATGGTTTTTCAGCCTAGGTGACAGGGTGAGAGCCTTTCTCAGAAATAAATAAATAAAACAAAGTAATGATTTAAAGGAGCGCGTGCTAAAGTATCTGTGATGAAGGACCCATTTTTAAATGTTTCAAAATATTCAATCCATTATGGACAGATCATTTTATAAAGAACAACCAAAGCACATTATTAGAAAAATGAAATTAACCAGATGTACAAAACATGAGACCAATTTTTAAATTTTTATAATAGATATAAATAGAAATCCTGCCAAACTGCTATAAAGTTTCTAAATGCTTACTCTTAGTTTCTTATCAGAGACCAGTAACATCCAGAGGGCAGTTGGGAGCCATACTGTACACCACACTTGGAGCAGGGTGGGTTTAAAGCATGTACTTCAGGGTCAGTGAGACCTGGGTTCAGATCCTGCCTCTGCCACCTACTGGCTGAGTATCCGGCAACCCGAACTTCCTGAGCCTCGGTTTTCTCATCTGTGAAATAGGGAAAGCGGCAGCTCGTTGCGAATGTGCAGTGACGCACATCAGGCCCTGGCCACTGTGCTAGGCACAGACCCCTCCTAGCTCATTGTGTTTCTTCTGTTGGGCTCTGCCAGGCATAGTGGGTGGCCTGAAGAAGAGGACCTAGTTGGATGCAGCCCCTGCTCCCTGAACTTGGATGTGACAGAAAGAGCCAGTGATTCCTGGCATAAGAGAGTATCATGTAAAGAGCTCAAGGAAGGAAGAGTACATTGTTTTCAGCTGGGGAGGTAGAATCTGAGTGAGGTCTTAAAGCACGAGGTGATTCGGTAGGATGAGAAGAGGGAGGGTAAAGTTCTGTAGTGGGGTCACCAGGCAGGAAATGGGGAAAGAACAGGCCAGTTTGGGGGAGAGGCTAGAAAAGCAGGCTGGGGGCTGGATGCGGTGGCTCATGCCTGTAATCCCAGCACTTTGGGAGGCCAAGGCAGGTGGATCACAAGGTCAGGAGATTGAGACCCTCCTGGCCAACATGGTGAAACTACATCTCTAGTAAAATACAAAAAAAATTAGCTGGGTGTGGTGGTGTGTGCCTGTAGTCCCAGCTACTCAGGAGGCTGAGGCAGGGGAATTGCTTGAACCTGGGCGGCAGAAGATGCTGTGAGCCAAATTCATGCCACTGTACTACAGCCTAGGTGATAGAGCAAGATTTCATCTAAAAAAAAAAGCAGGCTGGGGTCAGACCAGAAGCTCAAGGGCTGTGAAGGGATTGGATTGTGATGGGGTCAGTGCAGGGAGCCAGGAAGTGTTGTGGGAGAGTGACCTGCCCCATCCTGGAGGGGGAGAGATCACCCAAGCACAATAGGGAAATTGTGTTGGCTGTAGGAGAGTTGGGGGCCAGGAGACTCCATGGAGGTGTCCTAGTGGCAGCCCCCAGGGTTGCCATAGGTGCCACTGCTGAGGCTGAGTGCGCGGGATGAGTCAGGTGTGGGTTCAGTGGCTCAGGGTGCTGACGCTGGGCAGAAGTGCCCAAGCACGTCAGAGGCAGACTGTGGCTCCACACTCCGGCCCCCTGGGAGCCTGCTGGCTGACATTTACCCCACATCCCAGCCATCCCCAGAGCTCCTTGACAGCGGAAAAAATTCATAGCCATTGATTTTGTAATTAACAGTTTATCAATGCCATCGATACAGACCTGCTGATTGATTGCAAAGAAATTAATCTTGCAATGTTATTTTATTTCATTTTTGGTCGAAGGCAGCTGCCAATTTTGGCCTCCTTGGGGAGAGTTGGGGGTGGGGATGGAGAGGGTGGGGAGAGGGAGCTGGCAGGAGTTAGGAGCCCAGATGGCAAGGCCCAGCCATGTTAAGTGTAGGAATGGGGCCATGCTTCATCTCCTACCCGATTACGAAGGAGGGCTTACTGCCTTGGTAGCAGGGAGCAGGAAAATGTGGAGGCGGCTTGGGTGTGGGGCCAGTGAAGACTCAGCCCTGCAAGGGCACTCACCCCAGCTGCGTCCCCACAGGAATGATAACATGACCTGACATGAATCAGCTGCTGACCAAGCTCTGGGTAACGTGCTGCTTCGGTCACCGTCACTACCACCCTGTGAGTCCACATCCCTGTATTTTACAGCCAGGTCAGGCCCAGCTGTCACGTGACTGTCAGCAGGTGCCTCCCTGCCGTGCTGGGATTTAGGTACATTTTGTTTGAACCCCTAGTTCATGGCCTAAGTTCAAAACCTTCCCCAAGATTTTAGAGAACTCCCAACACCCCATGCTGCCACCACGGGGCACCCTGATACGGAGCTTAGCACCTGTATCTGTGCCTGTATTCTGTGTCCTATAATCAGAATTTTGTCAGGTTAGCAAGTGCACTGAAGATTTGGGGAGCTGGTGCCTGGCAGGCATCTGCAGTGGTTGTCATGGTAATAGTAGTGTAGGGGCCAGGGGCGGTGGTAGGGGCGATACCGCTACCAGGGCACTGACTTGTGACAAGTTCTGTTATAAACCCTTGACCTGCTTAACTTCTGTAAGCATCTGAGGTAGGTATGGCTATCGTCTCATTTTACAAGTGAGGAAAATGAGGCACAAAGAAGTTAATCATCTGGAGGCTGAGGCAGGGGAATTGTAAGCATCTGAGGTAGGTATGGCTATCGTCTCATTTTACAAGTGAGGAAAATGACTAAAGTCACACAGGCTGCAGGTAGGGGACACAGGATTCCAGCAGTCTGGCTCCAGGGTCTCTGCTGCCACCCCCTGGTGACCTCTTGAGAAATGTCCTCTGTAGATGCCAGTCTCTCCCTGGGTTTGAGTCCCAGCTCTATCATTAGCTTCTGTGACCTGAGACTGGCAATTAACCTCTCTGAGCCTCAGACTGGTTCTCTGTGAAGCGAGGGTTCTGAAGCACCCCCTGCCTGCCTGCATGCTGCCTCCTGGACCCGGAGATGGCCCCCACGCTAGTCAGCACTCCCCGGCCAGCCTGCTAATGCTTGTCCTTGTGCCCACAGATTCCATGTACATTGAGGATCTGGAGGCTGTCCAGAAGCTGCAGGACCTGCTGCACGAGGCGCTGCAGGACTACGAGCTGAGCCAGCGCCACGAGGAGCCCCGGAGGACGGGCAAGCTGCTGCTGACGCTGCCCCTGCTGCGGCAGACGGCCGCCAAGGCCGTGCAGCACTTCTACAGCGTTAAACTGCAGGGCAAGGTGCCCATGCACAAACTCTTCCTGGAGATGCTGGAGGCCAAGGTCTGATGGCCCTGCACACGGACCATGCCCACCTACAGACAGACAAACGGACAGACCGAGGTGGAGCCCTCCACAGCCACCAGCCTCCACCTTCAACCCCTGTATCATGGCTCTGAGCTGTCCCAGAGGCAGGGGTTTCTCGCTCCTGGCTATGTGCAGACTCCCGGGTGCAGTGGGGTGGGGGACGGGGATGGGGGGCAGGGGCGTGGGGCTCGTCTGTAACTGGCTTTTTCTTTGGTATGTCTTTCCTTCTCCATGGGCAGTGCAGAGGCCTGGGCCAGGGCTGACTCCCTTCAGGAGTGGAGACCACTGGAGCAAGTGCCCCTCCCCTCCACCAAACCACTAAGAGGCAGCATGTGCATTTCCTAACTTCCTTGCCCCCTCCCCCATCCACGGCCTGGGTGGGCAGTGCTCAGGCTGGGTACTACCTGGAGGTTTTCCTTCCACAGAGGGCAGGTATGCAAGGGACAACAGCATCTTTCTTCCAGAGGCCCTGCCTGCTGAGATCCTCTGGGGCCCCTCGAGAGCCCCATACCTCCCACAGTCCCCATTCAGCTTTCAGCCAGGGCGGACCCACAGGAGAGCTCACGTGTTTCCTGGGCACCCCACTCCCTCGCGGCCTGCCCCCTGCCTGTCACCCACCACGCCAGTGCCCACCTGTCCTCCTCCTCTTCTTCTCCCGTAGGGGTCCCCCATTACTTCCTGACCCTACCTCAGAGCTCACTCACCCAGTGGGTTCATCAGCCACAGTGACTCCAGGGCCTGTAGACAGGAACGTGCTGGCATAGAGAAGAGCGGGGGCCACACCGTCCTCCCCAGAACCCTTTCCCGCTTCCTGCCTTCCCCCTGTTCCTGAAGGGCAGGTCTAGGCCAGGTGGGCCCGTGAAAAGCTCAGGAGCCTGGCTTCATCCAAGAGCACCCTAGGGGGAGGATCAGGGCAGGATGGGCAGAGGCCCAGACCAATCTTCACCAAGCACAGAAAGGCCCAGCAGCTGAGAGAAGTAGGCAGAGGGGCCCCGAAGGGAGGGAGCTCAGCGGGATGGCCAGACTCATGCTTCCTGGCTTCCCTTCTCCGCATCATGCCACAGGAGGGGGGCCTCCCGCCACCCTTGCACAACCAGAGGTTTGGTGTAGCTCCCCTGGGCACTGCGCGCACACCAGCTCTCTGGCAGGACCCCTGCAGTCCCCCTGACTGCTGTGCCAGGTGACCAAGCATCCCAGTTTTCCCAGGATGTTCCTTTGTCCCAGGAAACTCCTCAGCCCCAGGCACATGGGGACAATGGGTCACCCCGTTTCTGTGGATGGCCATGAAGGTTTTCACTGACTCAAGGGGCAGCCCTGAACACCCATCTGTGCTCACAGGTTGGTAAGGGCAGCTTAGAGGATCTCCCAAGGACAAAAGAGTATCAAGCCATGATGGAAAATGTCCCTTCTAATGAGCTGCCTGCGCAAGCAGGGATCAGAGCAACCCCGCGGGGATCCCGCATCCATGCCATTCTAGTCGAACCTGCCTCATCGAGAGAGGCAGGCAGATCTCACCAGGCACTGGGACACCAGGAGGCCAGGTGCCTTTCTGCAGCTTTTCCATTGAAACCCTGGTCCCACCTCCCTGGCTCTACCTTAGGAACCTCGTGCTGATGATGTGCTGAGGTCATCCAGACAGGAGTGAGGGCTGGCTGAAATCCACAAACTGCAGAGCAGCTGTCTGATGGTGTCCCATATAGAAAATGTTAAGGGTTCCGAGAGCCCTCCCAGACCTGGGACGTGTCCACCCCACTCCCCTTGCCTGTGGGGAATCGGGTCTGAGTCACTTGAGTGGGCATTGAGCCATCACCCAGGATGCTGGGTCCGCACCCTCCACGCAGCCCCTCTTCCCCGATCTGGGTAGAGGTGCACATTGGGGCAAAGGCCCTTCCTCAGTGTCAAGAAACACCAGCTGCAAACCAAGTCTAGCACTGTGTTTAGAGGCTGCACCCTGAGGGCCTGCTCTGAGGAAACCTTCAGAGTCGAGACCTTGGGGTGTGCTCCGTGGGGCTCCCTTAGTCTCACTGTGCTGTGTCCTTGCAGTGGGGCCGTGGTGGCACCCTGCTGTGTCACTTCCTGCCACCTGGAGGACTCAGGTGGCAGGGGATCATGCCCAGCTAGCATCTGCTGCCTGTCTTTCCTAGGGAAAGCATCTCTGGCTCAGTGTGCAACATCTGGCTTGGAGAGAGTGGGTGTTCTGTGCACCGGGCAGCTGTGCCTCTAGCACAGTGAGGCGGAAGTCCTGATAGTTGGTGTCCGTGAGGTGGAAGCTGCTTTTACACTTAAAACTCACATCACAACAGGAAATGTGTCCGCAACAATGGAACTCCATCCAATGGGAAAGTTCCTGGTACTGAAGGGATCCATTGGATGCTCAGAAAAGAAGTTTAGGAGCCAACTTCTTAGCTGGAAGCCTGGTCAGATGAAGACCCTCTCTAGGGAAGGGAGAGGACTGACTTAGTGGGAGGTGGTGAAGTGAGGAGAGTTTAGGGGACCCTCCCGCCAGTGGAACAGAACTCAAGTTTACCCCAAACCTGCCATTTCTGGGAAATCTGTAAAGAGGAAACAGCCTGTCTCAGTTGTACTCTCATGATACAGGTCATCTGAAATGAACCAAGAAATAAAACAAAAGTCCAACCGTGGAGAAGGTGGTACGGCTGGGTTTTGTTTGGTCCCCTTGCCTTCTGAAGTTTCCAGACTGGCTTTGTCACTTTGTGAACTTGTCACGTGTGAAACCCGATCTTTGCATTTAGGGAACTTCTTCAGGCCACACTTTAAGAACCAAGTAAGAGGCTCTCAAGACTCCAGCAGAGTCGGGAGGTCATGGCAGAGCCTTAGAGGAGGCAGAACCTGCATCCACTTGTGTCGGGGCCCCATTTCCCCAGAGACTCTGCCCTCCCTCTGTGCAGATAGGCGTGGAGGGTGACCAGCTTGTGACAAGAAGACTGAAGGGTCCAGAGTCTATGCTCACGGAACAGCACCAAAGAAAAGCACTATGTGGAAAGATTGTTTTATTTTCTAATACTGATGATATGGCTGGAATGGCTTCATAAGATGTATATATTTTTTAAAATGGCGGTTCCCTCCTGCAGCATCACCTGCCTGTACGACTTTCCGCCTCTGTGTATGTTCTCCCAGAGACCCCCCATGTAAATCAAATGCCCTAGGATTCTTCCATCCTGGTCCCATGTATCTGGAATCTAATAAATAAGGAAAGGCCTATTGAGTTTCTTCACACATTGTCTTTCTGGGCTGACTGTCCCCCGGACGGCACTGCCCTTGGGTCTCAGGCTGAGGCTAGGAAAGGCCACTGGGAGAGGCAGCCCAGCCTCCATGTTCCCTGGGGAGTCCCATGGCATCATTTTTAAAAGCGTGTTCAGCAGCAAAGCTCAGGAGCGCAACTTGAGAAGTATGATGCAGGGCTGAGAAGCTCCCTGTTGCTTTTACGCTTTTGATATTAATGGTAAAGCCATCGATTATTTTCACTAAAGCCAGAGAAACGAGATAGCAGATGTAAGTGAATGAAGACCAATTCATTGGCTTAGGATTTTGAATTGCTTCTGTGACACACACAACACTGACAGCACAGCCTACATGTTATTCCAGGGCACACTCAGGACCAGTGGGAAACAGAGGGGAGAGCCTAAAAAGGACCAAACGTGATATTTCAAGATGCCTTTTGTTGCACGTAAAAGACACCTCAGCTGACACTGGCTTACTGGATTTACATATGAAGTCCACAAGTGGTGTCGACATCAGGCAGGGTTTGATCCAGAGGTTCACAAAGTGATAGGGTTATGGTTCAACTCCTCCAATTCCCTCATTTCTTCTGTGTGTTTGTTTCATCCCCAAGCTGGTCTCCTTCCTGGTAGCAAGAAGGCTGCCAATTTTTTGTTTCACACCCTGTGGGATAAAGAAAATCTCTTTCTCCAAGCATGGAAAATGTCTGCACTTCGTTCTGGACTCCGTTGGGTTTTGTGTGGTCCCTTAATGAATCACCATGACTACCTTGGGTTAGAATCACTTCCACTCCATGGCCTAGCTGCTACACTGTGGGAAAGGGGTGGGTTGGAAGTCTAGAAGACAACCGGCCAACTGTAATGCCCACAGAACCCACATATGTGGACAGCTTAGGGTCTGGCCAGCTTTCAGCGAGAGGTTTGTAAGTCTCCTGAAGCTCGTGGAAGAAATACATGGTTATCTTTCCACTCAGCACCTAGCTCGCCTCATGCATGATGTGCATTATGTACTTGTGGGAATGAAAGTACTCAATTTGTAGATTCTTTTTAGGTAATTCACCTTACAAGAATGCACACACAGCTAGTATTCGTGGTGTTATCGTAAGAAAAAAAAATAATTAGGAAAGAAAATCAACCATAATATAGTGTAATGCAGTCAAAATGAAATCTTTATTTGATGATCTGTATGCTAGGATTGTGCTACTTTTTCCATTTATACATGTAATTGTGATCAGACCAACGAAGAGCTCATATTTTCAATACTTAACCTCATTGATATCCCCACCTCCAGTCATTCTCTAGTCTCTCTCTCTCTCTCTCTCTCTCTCTCTCTCTCTCTCTCTCTCTCTCTCTTTTGTTAGCATACAAGTGAAGCTTCAAAGAAAGGGGAAAACCTCAACTAACAGTCATGTGTTCATTCTTTTATTCATTCAACAAATCTTTACTGAGGCTCCACCCTGTTCCAGGCTCTGTTCTGGGCATGGAGACGATCTCTGTAAGGAGAACCAAATCCATCTTCACAGAGCATACAGTCTATTGGGAAGAAGAGAGAGGAAATAGGTACAGCAAATAACCAAATTCTAGTTTGTTAGAAGGTTATAAATTCTGAGCGTTGTGGGGAAAGCAAGGTATGGGTGACCAGAAATGGGGTGGTGGCTAGTTTTAAAAGGAGGGGTCAGAACAGTCTCAATGAGGATGTTACATTCAACAGTAAAAGTTAAAGAAAGTGAGGATTGTGTGGGTGTCCGGAGGGAAAGCTCTTTAGGCAGAAAGAGCGGCCTGGGCAAAGGCCCTGGGGCAAGAGTATGTTTGGTATATTCAGTAAACATCAATGAAAGGAGTGTGGCTAAGCCGGAATGTGTGAGGCCCTGGGGAATAAGTGGTACAAGGCCATAGTAAACGTGGCTTTCAACTCTAAGAGATTGCATGAGGAACCAGTGGGAGCATTTAAATACGGGGGTGATTCGATCCCATATTTTAATAGGACACTTTTAGTTGTTTGGTGGTTTAGTAGGCTGTTGTTTCCTTGAAAGTGTCTGGCTGGGCATTAAACACAGCATTGGGGTTTTATCTGGATCATTTATTTAAATAAGGGTCTTGAGAACGGAGCTGGAGTGGAAGTACAGCCCATGGGACAGGTAGGCCATTCTCAAGTCTTCCTAGGCCACCAGAGACACCTGGCTGGCCCCAGGAAGTGCAAGCAGGAAGACCAGCTACAAGACCACTGGTGAGGTGACTGTGGCTTGCAACAGGCGTGTTACAGAGCAGGTTATAAATGCTTGAGGCTGGCCACAGAGGCTCATGTCTGGATTCCTGGCACCTTGGGACATCAAGGCGAGTGGATCACGTTGAGCTCGAGTTGGAGACCAGCCTGGGCAACACGGTGAAACCCTGTCTCTACAAAAAATGCAAAAATGTGCTGGCATGGAGGCTCACACCTGTAGTCCCAGCGACTCAGGAGGCTGAAGCTGGAGGATCGCGTCAGCTGAGAAGCAGAGGTTGTAGTGAGCTGAGATCGCACCACTGCACTCCAGCCTGGGTGACGCAGCAAGAGCCTGTCTCAGAAAAAAAAAAAGTGCTTGGATCCTAGATCTATTCTGAAGCCACCAGGATTTGCTGATAAGTTGAACGTGGAATGTGAGAGAAAGAAAGGAAACGTGGGTAATTCCAAAGATTCAGCCCCGGCAACTGGAAAGAGTAGGTTGTTATCCACTGAGATGAAAGACTGAGGAAGAGCAGGTTTGGGGACTGGGTGGGAGAATCAACCGTGTTAAGGGTGAGATGCTATCACCCAGAAGGCCTTAGGCCATAGGGTCAGCCAAACGGGAAACAGAAAATGTGCTTCCCCCAAGAGCAGATGTAGCACTGGCGGTCCTTCCCAGCTGAGAATTCCTTCTCACACCCAGCCAACCCCTCCATTGTTCTCTACCTGTCCTCACGGGCAATAAAGTTAAACTAATCAGGCAAACAGATTTGTGGAGTAGAAAGAGCTTAGCGACCACCTTTTATGTCATTATTTGTCAGTTGAGCAAAATAACCCAAAAGTGAGCTTCTGGGGAAAAGACCCTCGCTGGAAGAATCAGAACTATAACCTGGCCCTGGATTTTTCAAAAACAGTGTGGGGCACTGGAAAGCTCGCTGGACTGGCAAGTACACAATGCTTGACTAGATGTAGACCAGGAGTTGACAAATGGGGGCAGTTTTCCCCCAAGGGACATTTGGCAGTGTCTGGAGACATCTTTTGTTGTCACCCTGAGCGTGGTTACGGGCATCTAGTGGGTGGAGGCCAGGGATGCTGCCAGACGTCCTGCAGGGCCCGGGACAGCCCCCACTAAAAGGATTCTCTCACCCCAGATGTCAGTGGTGCTGAAGTTGAGAAACCCTGATCTAGATGTACTCTGGGCATTATCAAGGAAACACTGGAAGCCATTCTTCCAGCAGAGCCCTGTGTTCCACCCAGGATTCCAGGCAACACAGTATGGGGGCGTCAACTCCTGTTACCAAGCTCTTCCCTCCGCTGCCATCTGGACCCCTCTACCCTGACACTTCTATCAGGGGCAAACATCCCATGCTTTGCACAGACAGTTTCTGTTCAGACTCAGCCTTCAGGCCCAAGGGGAAACTGCTCTGGTCCAGCGTCTGCCCAGACCTGGTTCCTTTCTATGTCAACTTTTGGTTTTGTGAAGCCAAGTAGCACCTGTGGCTTCAGGTCTCAAAGAAGTGGAGACCCTTCTTGGCAGACCCAAGAGGTCCCTGTTGAAGTGTGCTAAGAACTTGTTACTTTTCTCTTGTTACTTCCTCCCCTTGCCTGGGATGGGCGGAGGCTCCTGGATTGGCCATTCGAGGTCCAGTATCTGATGGTCAAAAGTAAAGCCTTCTCTGCAGAATGGTGGGGGAGGAGAGTTAAGAAGATACTTTTCTTTCTTTCTTTTTTTTTTTTTTTTGAGATAGAGTTTTGCTCTTGTTGTCCAGGCTGGAGTGCAATGGAGGGGTCAGAACAGTCTCAATGAGGATGTTACATTCAACAGTAAAAGCTAAAGGAAGTGAGGATTGTGTGGGTGTCTGTGAATAGCCACTGCACTCCAGCCTGGGCAACACAGCGAGACCCCGTCTCTAAAAAAAAAAAAAAAAAGGAAGAAAGAAAGACCCAGCAAACCCCAAAACCACTGGACGTGCCCCAAGTCTTCACTCCCTTTCTCACTCCTCCCCTCTCTGATCCATCCCTGATCCAGATCTGTGTAGCTCCTTAAGCATTTTCCTGCACAGGTTAAACAGCTAGAGGCTGCTCCAGTGAGCAAAATTTCTTCTTCAGCAGAGGATATGGGGCGAGGGCAGTGGAGGATGACTGGAAACCTCACCACCTGTGTCTTTTATCTTAGCTGCAAATTCACTTCACACTCCAAGAACAGAAACTGTGAACCAGAGAGAGCTGCCCCTCGCCTGCCCTGAGGTTTTGCTGTGTACCTTGTTCTTCTACAGAACCAGGACGTGCCCCTCCGGGACCCACCTCCAGACTCCAAGGCTGTAGCAAGTGTTTTAAGTCTTGTTTCAGCAAGCACCCAGCAAAGCAAGGCTTTTCCACCCCAAGGTGTGCCCTCTCCCCACCAATGCTCCAAAATTTCCCAGTCAATTCTGTGTCACTTTGACTCATTATCTATTTTTCATTCATTCATCATCTGGCACAGGGCTAGATTTGGGGGGTATGGTGGGAGCTCAGAGTTTAGCAGAGAAGGTAGACATTGAACTAGTGGTTTACGAGTGTATCTTATACAAGAGACTTTTAATGGAGGAACCAACCTGGCCTTTGGTGGTGGGGAGAGTGAAGAACAGTTGTCCAAGGACATCAGCCCTGGGCAGCAGGTTGAGGCCAAGTCCTGGAGTGGAGTTAACCAGGTGAGGGAAGGAACAGTGTTTCAGGAAGAAAGAAGAGAAACACTGTCCAGGGGGAGAAAGAGAGAGAGAGAGAGGCTGCTGTGCTCCATG